GTTTGTTCTCCTTTTGTTCCCCTGTGGTACCGTTTGTTCCCCTGTGGTACCGTTTGTTCCCCTGTGGTACCGTTTGTTCCCCTGTGGTACCGTTTGTTCCCCTGTGGTACCGTTTGTTCCCCTGTGGTACCGTTTGTTCCCCTGTGGTACCGTTTGTTCCCCTGTGGTACCGTTTGTTCCCCTGTGGTACCGTTTGTTCTCCTGTGGTACTGTTTGTTATAACTTCTACCAATAACTCAAATTCACTGGATGTTGTTTTTTGTTTTCAGTCACTGTTTTTACCAAAAAATTGGAAGATTTCAATAAAAGACAAGAAAGCGACCCTGTCAAGTGTTAGCTGTTAGCTGTTAGCCGTTAGCTGTTAGCTGAAGGGTCACTGGAGCTGGTCAGCCTTTTTATTGTGTGTGGTGATAAAATGGTAGTGTTCATGGTGTGGTGGGTCATGGCTTCATCTCTCACCAGTCGTCCAGCTCCACCACCTCTCCATCAGAGCTGACCTTCTTACAGCCAAAGAGCAGCAGCTGGAGAGGACTGACCATGGTCATGGCCTTGGCACTGATGGCACGAGTCCGAATCTGAAACATCGACCCAGTTCAAACCACACTCACACACACATATATACACACACATATATACATATATTTCCTGTTAACATATCTATAGATAGATACTAGACTGAACTGCTTCACTTCCTGTCTGTGAACTACTTCACTTCCTGTGGGATTCATAAAGTTGTGTCTGTCAGTCGGGGCTGTGACCTGTGGAGAGGAGGCGTGGTCTCACCTTCTCTCCAAAGATGAAGAACGGCGAGGGGTAGGTCATGTCGTGGCTGCTGAACGGACAGTTGACGGACGACTTGTGGATCAGAGCGTTGCGCCCCTCGGTGGTGAGAATCTTCCTCTTCTCTTTGTGGTAACAGACGTTTGGATAAAAGCCAAAGGTGAGGAGAGAAATGACCACGTCCAGGCCGTTGTCAGGTCCAACGGTGTTAAACATGTGGGTCAGGAGACACTCTGGGGGCAGAAGAAGCAGACGGGGCCGCAGCTCCTTAACTCTGACATCACTTCCTGTGGTGACATCAGTGATGCCTTCAGGTACCTTCAGGGAAACCAGCATTGACCAGGATGTCCTTCAGCTGGACCTTGGCCTCCCAGGTCATCCTCAGGGTGGACATGTTCAGACGCTTATGTTCACAGAAACCAGACTCCGCCTCCTCGCCGTTCATCCTAGACAGGAAGCCTCAAACTGTCAAGTCAACGCCTTTGGAATTCAAATGAAAATATACGCCTAAAAAAA